GGAAGTCAGGGAGAAGCAATCTAAATGCTCAGGAGAAATGGCGCTGGGTGCGTGTGCTGTGATGATGAAGTTAATGGTGCTGGTGAGCTGTAAGACACTACTCTCAGATGTTTCCCATGTGCTGGCAGTCCGCATTCATTGGTTTGTTTGTAAATAAACTTCATAGGCACTTTTCCATTCAGATTTTTAATGCTGTCTTTTGAGTGATGTTCTGAAAACCTTTTTGGCTTGTAACTCCTTGGAAAATCTGGTAAAAGCTGTGGACCCTCTCTTGTCAGTAGAATGCACACATATACTTGAAAAAATTGTGCATAATTTCAAGGAATTTATATGCAACCTCCTCTTAATGATCTAACTGGCCATAAGAAATTTATCTTCCTTTTCCTAAAAGGATTCCAGAAGGGCTCTTTTTTACCTTTTAACAGTCTTAGAATAAATAATTCAATATGGTGATGGTGATGATGATGACTACCATTTATTGAGCTTTTACTATTTGTTAGACACTGTGCATTCCTCATTTCCAAAGGTGAACTCTGGATCATCCCTTCCAAATTTGTCCTTCCTGCAGCCTTCCCCATCTCAGGCAACACCAATTCCATCTCTTCATGTGCTCAGGTAGGGCTGGGTCCTTACCACCACCAAGCTGTCACCTTTCTCCTAGGCTCCATCATCTCTCCTTGTTTACTGCAAGTGATCTCCCTACTTTCCCTCTTGAAAGTTAACACAGCAGCCAGAGTCATTGATCCTGTTAAAATGGAAGTCTTATCATACCACTGTTGTACTCAATCTTCCAGAGGCTTCTTATTTCATTCAGAGTAAAATCTGAAATCCTTACAATGGCCAGAAACCTCTGTGCTCTCCAGCTCCAGGGGCCACAAGAAAAAATAAAGAGAACCAAAAATGGTAAATAGGAAGGCTAATATGACAAACTCTAAATATGTACTTAATCTCTTTTCTTTCAGCCTCTTTGAAAGACATAAATCTATAAAAGGTAATAATTATAATGTATTGTTGGATTTGTTAACATAGTTATACTATGTATAACAATAATAGCTCAAAAGGGAGGAAGAAAGAATAGAGCTATGTAGGAGAAATGTTTCTATATATCACTGGAATTAAGTTGGTATAAATCTGAAACTGTGATAATGTGTGTATGGTAAGCCATAGAGCAACCACTAAGAAAATAACTTTAAAAAGTGAAATTCATTAAAGAAATTAAAATGTTACACTAGAAAATATTTACTTAATGAAAAAGAAAGAAGTAAGGAGGAATAGAGGAACAAATAAAGATATGAAATATGTAGAAAACAAAAAAGTAAAATAGCAAGACATAAGTCCAACTATATCAATAATAACATTAAATGTGAATGGATTAATCAGTACAATCAAAAGACAGAGATTGTCAGACGGGGGAAAGATTCAACTATATACTGTTTACAGGAGATACACTGTATATTCAAAGGTACAAACAGGTTAAAAAGAAAAAGGATAGGAAAAGATAAATCATGCAAACGGCAACCACAAGAAAGCAGGAGCGGCTATACTAATATCAGACAAAATATACTTAACAAAAACGTATACTAGAGATAAAAAGGGATACTTCATGATGGTAAAAGATTCTATGTTTATGGATTGAAAGTCTTTATATTACTAAGATGGCAATGCTCCCCAAATTGATCTACAGATTTAAGAAACCTCTCTCAAAATCCCAGCTTATTTTTTATGGAAATTGACAAAGTCATCCTAAAATTGTATGGAAAACTCAAGGAACTTTAGAATAGCTAAAACAATTTTGAAAAGGAAGAATTAAGTTGGAAGACTCACACTTTTAAAACTTACTACAAACCTACAATAATCAAGAAGTGTGGCACTGGAATAAAGATAGACATATAGATAATAGATTAGAATTGAGAGTCCAGAAATAAACCCTCACATTTACTGTCAATTGACTTTTTGACAAGGGTGCCAATGAGGAAAGAACAGCCTTTTTAACTAATGGTGCTGGAACAGCTGGATAACCATATGCAAAAGTATGAAATTGGGCCCATAACTCACAACATACACAAAACTTAACTCAAAATGGATCAAAGATGAAAAGTAAGAACTAAACCTATAAATCTCTTAGAAGAAAACATAGGGGTAAATTTTTGTGACCTTGGTTTTGGCAGTGATTTCTTAAATGTGACATCAAAAGCACAAGCAACTGGGCTTCCCTGGTGGCGCAGTGGTTAAGAATCTGCCTGCCAAGGCAGGGGACACGGGTTCAAGCCCTGGTCCGGCAAGATCCCACATGCCGTGCGCAGCTAAGCCCGTGCGCCACAACTACTGAGCCTGTGCCCTAGAGCCCACGAGCCACAAGTACTGAAGCCTGCACACTTAGATCCTGTGTTCCACAACAAGAGAAGCCACCACAATGAGAAGCCCGTGCACCACAATGAAGAGTAGCCCCCGCTTACCGCAACTAGAGAAAGCCTGCGCGCAGCAACGAAGACCCAACTCAGCCAAGATATAAATAAATGAATAAATAAATAAAATTTTTTAAAAAAGCACAAGCAACTAAAGGAGAAACATAAATTGGGATTTCTTCGGGGGGAGTGTGTGAAAATATTTTAAAATTGAATGTGGTGATGGCTGCACAACTCTGAATATGCTAAAAACCATTGAATTTTGCACTTCAAATTGGTGAATTTCATGGTATGTGAATAAAAAAGAAAAAACCAAAAGGGGCAAAAAAGAAAAAACCCTTAATAGACGTTTCACAAAAGAAGATATAGAAATGTCCAATAAGGCACGGAAAGATACTAAATATCATTATTATTCAGGAAAATGCAAATTAAAACCATAACGAGATACCACTACATACCAAACAAAACAACTAGAATTATAACAACTGAGGGTACTAGGTACTTATCTTACAGAGATTCCCACTAACCTCATATCCCTGCTATTGATAGAACTTATCCTGTAACACCACTCCAGGTATCGCAGCTCCTGCTGTTACAGTCCTTTGGCAGCCTATATATCTACCTTACCAATGTTGACAGCTTGGACCACTGGATAGAGTTGGCTGTTCACCTTATAAAGTGTGCAACCCTGTACCTACAAATAAAGCATATTTATTTTATGAATGTCAAGTCTTCACCTTGGGCTGTTGGTCTATTCTACAAGTAGGAAGTAGGTGACGATGTTGTTTTAGGTTTGTCTTCTTAGATTTGTAGTTAATTTTTCTTAGTCTCCCCAGTAAATGCAAATAAAACACTTTCTATGTTTCAAGAAACAATAATCTATAGTAGTTCTGATTCCCATTTTATAGATAAAGAACTAACACTGAGAGAGACTTTATTTGCTCAAGACAGGACACAGTGGAGCCATTGTCTAGTTCAGGTTTATTGATTATAAAGCCCAGGTTCTTTGGATTATATTAAGTTGCCTCAAAGACAGGAGTACATTGGGTTGTTTTTTTTTTTTTACAACTCGCTTGCCTTTGAGTTTCAGAGTGATTATTTTTTTTAAAGATGAATACATTGATCATGACTTTAAAAAGCTCAGTTTAGCAGAGAAAGGAAGTATGCAAATAGACATTTTCAGTGCAGCAAGATAATTGCAGTGGTATAAGTTTTTAATAAACACAGGGGGTAACATAAAAGGAAGTGATCAACTCTGCTGGAGTGGTTATTGAAGATGAGATAATTAAGTAGGACATTCAAGGGTGCGTAGGAGTTTGTCAGTTGGTCAACTGACCTCTGAATGCCTATTTCTGTACCATGACTAACTATGGAAACCATATACATAAACATCAGTATTAGATTTAAATAAGTGACTACTTAAAAGGTAGAAAAAATTCACTGTTAGTTTGCAGGAATGCTGTGTTCCTTTACACCTTTTTAATAATTAGCTTTGTGTTAAGATATAATTAAAACCTCTTGGCAAAATACGAAAGTCTTAAAAGGGCAGTGCTTTTTGCTGGCATGTGCTTTGCAAAATACATTGCAAAACAACCAGCTTTTAGAGTTCTTTCATTCTGTTGCATCAGCTGTTTGGAATTTGAAAAACGGTCAAGATAAAAATTTGTGAGTTAATGAAGATTTTGCTTTGGTCTTTTATCAAATTGCGGTAAACTTGACAAATGAATATACTTGGGATACATGCTTTTCAGATTTTTTTTTAGGAGAAAAGCTTTAATCTATATCTGTGACTGTTTTCTAGGTGTACATTGTTTCTCACACACAAATGTTATGTAAGATAGTAATGATTAGTTTCTGATGAAACTATTATCAGTTTATCGATAAATGTCTTAGAGCCTATTATGAACACAGTTGTGGCTTATTCAGCTCCTAATTTATGTCTCACTGTAGCTTTTTTCTCTCTTATTTCATTATTCCTCTTGGGATAAAATGGGCAAATTGAAAGGCAAATGGGAATCATTTAGTTTCAGGTGTTTTGATTCAGCCATGTTGTGCTACTTTTACTTTTGAGTTATGTGGAACCATAAGAAGGCTACCTGCTACCTAATATACATTTTTAGAAGGGCTCTCCATAGACAATTTTGGAAAATATGGAATCTGCTTAAAGATAGTGACCGGCCACTACTACAAAGGAAAGGCTGGGAGTTTTGTTTTGTTTTTTTCATTTTTTAGTTATTATGGTGGTTGATGTTTTGGTTCTTTACAGCAAGTTAAGAAGTGTATGGTAATGGCAGAGGCTTCTGATATGCTGGATTTGGGAAAATTATTTTAAAATATGCAGATTTCATGTAATAGTTTTAATAGTAATACTCTATGCAAATTCATTTGATTGTGGTTTAGGGTAGTCATTAACTTATGGAACTGTATTTATATGAATTTAGTAATATATTCTATATGAAACTATATACTAAGAATTGTACAAAAATGATGTATTAAAATCAATGCCTTATGGTTAATCCAAAGTGGTTAAAAGGAAATATTTCCTTTAGTTTATGAATACAAGTCAAAGACAGAAAAAATATATTTCATTTTTAGATTATATAAATGGTGGAGAACTTTTTACTCATCTTTCTCAAAGAGAGCGTTTCACAGAGCATGAGGTGCAGATCTATGTTGGAGAGATCGTGCTTGCCCTCGAACATCTCCACAAGGTAAGAGATGCTTAACCTTTGGGATTTCCTTTTTTTAAAAATCTAGTAACTGAGGTAATGATGGAGCTAAAAGAGCTAATGCGTTTACATGTCATTGTCTTGGTGGAGATTGTGGAAGCACACTCATAGACCATTACCAATTTTTTCAATTTCATTGTTCCCTTTGTAAAAGTCTAGTTTCCTTTTATAGTTTCTGGGTTGCAGATTAAAAAGGTAGAACCTGAGCATTTTTTTGGTTTTGTTCATGAAAAATTCTGATGCTTATTACAAAGTATCATTAGAATAAAGGATTTTCATTCTTAAAATAACCTTTAAGATGAACCCACAAGTCGTAATATGTATTTCCTTAATTGTGACTTACTCCATTGCAGACTCTGCCTGTGCATCTTCGGAGTATGTTTCCCAATTAGCTTGGAATATTTGAAAGAAACACTTACCTATGCTACCCAGCTATCCCCCTCTCCCACTCTCGCTTTCTTTTCCATTTGGTTCACCCCTAAGGTCCTCTCTTGCTCCCCCTCCCTCCCTCCTGCTCCGTTGCCTTCATGTGGCATGAACTCAGTTACTCAACTTTTTCAGTGGAATTCATATATGTATGTGATGCTGTTTGAACTCTATAAAATCGGTTTAAACTTTTAAAAAATATTATTTCAGATACTATTAATCTTGATCCAAGAAATTTTGACTAAAAATATTTTTTTAATGAGGAAGCATTACTATAGAAGCAAACAGTCATTATGTAGACTAGGCTTGTGTGTATTTCCAAGAAATAGAAAGTACTAGAATAATTCTTATCAAAGTTGTGTGAGACCATAGGAGGATGACTCGAGTCGCTAAATTCGGATGATACAGGTACATCATAAAGCTGCTGTTTTTCTTTGTTATATATTCAGATGCTACACTAGATTACAGATAAAAAAAATATGGAAGTGCTGATTATGGAGCATAAAAAAGAATGGAGAGAAATGAAGGAAAAAGGCAAGGAAAAAGGATGACATTTTTAAAGGGGCAGGGAGATTAGAATTGCAGGATGGAGGTAACGGGTGGGAGAGGCTGTGAGAAAAGATGATGAGAAGATATAAGAAGGAAGGCATCAAGAAATGGGTAGATCTAGCCCAGAACAGGAACACAGCTGGGCAGGTAGAGGGAGACAGGGTTCAGAAGAGGAATTCTAAGGAGAGTGAATGAAAAAACGTCTAAGAACAGGAGGGAAGTAGAGAAGGCTCTGGGGCACAGGGCTGCAGTGCCATGGAGTGAAAGGAAGGGGAGTGTAAGGTGGGAGCTGAACTGAAGTGATAGGAACAGGCATCTGTATTCCTTCTGATAGAATTGGTGGTGTGGGGATGAGCTTTATGCCTATGGTTATTTTTGTGGGGTATAAAGTAGTTAGGACATTTTTATACATGAGCCAAATTGGGCCAGGGAATAGGCTGAAAGGCTTTGTTTTATGCTTAGGGGAATCAGATGTAATTTTTATAATATAAAAACGATGGTGGAAATCACCATAAATACCAGAGTAAACACAAACAAAATACAAAGCTCTGACAGGTAAGCTAGTAAATTCAGTTTTTGGTTAGTATGAAGACTGTTAATTCTGTTTCTTAAAGGGAAAATTCATGAACATTCATTATTATTAAAACAGGGTAATCAGAAACACAGAGGTAGAGAACATGATGAGTACAAGATATAAATGTAATTGATATAGAGGGAAGTATATAGCAGATTAGATCTTAGCTAAATTTCTCTTAATCTGGCTACCTAAAAAGATAAATACAAAGAGATATAACACAAAGCTAATAATGATAATCTTGATATAGCTACTAACACTGAGTTTCTCAGGAAGAGACAAAAACCGGGAGTTTACTTGTAAGTGATGAGGTAAAGCAGGCAGTAAATGACTTATTCCTAAAGTCTTTTCCAAAGAGGTTGTTAAAAAAAAAGTCATACTGGTTGTTAGGTGCTTGTAAGGCTTCAAGTCAAATGTCTAACAGACTGTGCATTTACAATATATAATAATGTTTTAAAATATGAAAAAAAAAACCCCACTGAGGTTCTTGGAAGAAAATTGCCTAGTGTTTTTCCTTGTGTAATTTTTTGTTTCAATTTTAAGAAAGCATCAAGAATCTTATTTTTCATATACTTAGTGTTGAGGAAAGCAGTGTTTCTAAGTTTAAAAACATTTAATTCGGGCTGACATAACATGGAACGTGGAATTCATGCATATCAAGTACTTCTTATATAACTTGGGTAGATTCATTTATGTCATAGAGCTGAAGTGTTTTACTATAAAACTTACATACAAAACAAAATAGAAGGATATTTAAATATCTAATTGATTTACGTTGCTTATTTAGAACTAAAGATCAACTAAAATTAACCTGTGATCATGTTTAGGAGTGTATTAGTCAACAAGCCTTTATTAATTACCTATTTGATATATGACACTGTGCTAGATACTAGGTAAATGCATAAAAAGTGAAAAAACAGAGTTTGGATATGGTTATATCAAGAAGAACAGGAAGTACCTAGAAAATATCAATTACTTTTATGTAAGTACGATGTAAATATAGATGCTATAGGAATAAAAACAAAGAAATGACCAGTGTGGGAAGTGGTTACTCAGGAAAGCCGTCTGAAGCCATTAGAAGTGATGGACGTGAATTGGCTAAGAAAGCACCTGAAGATCATCTGGAGTGAGGATGAAATCCATCAAGAACAGTAACCCAGGAAGAAGCAGTAGTCAAAGTAGACCCAACAGAAGCTAGTCCGACAGGAATGTACCCTCATTATATGGAGCATGAAGACATGGTTGCAGAGGGAACCCAGCAGATAAACCCTGAGATGGAGGAATTTAGATTTGCCCCGACCTGTGACTAAGAGCCGTCATAGCACCCTGAGCAGGAGAATGCCTTTTTTTGGTTTGTTTTTAAGGTAGATAAGAAAGACTTTTCTAATTTATTTTTTGGAAATTGTTATTTTAATATGCATATTTGTTTGTTTTTACAGTTGGGGATTATATACCGTGACATTAAGCTTGAGAATATTCTACTTGATTCTAATGGCCATGTGGTGCTGACAGATTTTGGTCTGAGTAAGGAGTTTGTGGCTGATGAAGTGAGTATTATATTTTAATTTGAAGTTAGTAAAACAGAATGTAAACAATGACGAAAAATTAGCTATAGAATGAGCGTTTAATAGGATAGTACTAAACAGATTATGGACTTTTGTACAAGTTTGCCCAGAGGAATATTTTGACATGGATAACTGTAAAGTTTTTAGTTTAAAATTACCATGGAACCATCCTGCTAGAATTCCAGTAATCCTTTTACGGATATAACAGAATTCCCCAGTTAAAAACAAAACAAAATTATGCATTTAACTTTCTCCATAAAATATAACTGAAATTTTAAAATAACGCTTTGGGCCTTTTAGGAGAATCGTGGCTTAGATAATAGCCAGTAAAGAATTACAAAACAAAGCACATACAGTTTACATTATATTTACAAGGTAGGACATGTCATGATGGCTCTTTGAACTCACTTGACAAGAATAGCAAGGATCTACTAGACCTAATTTTTTAATAAACTTGCTGCTTTTTGCCCATACAAACTAAAATGTAATAGCTAATGTACAGATTTTAAATATGAAGGACTTTGTGTTTTCAGCATTGATTAAAATTTGTTTATTATTAAAGATTTATTTAATAACATTTAAAATTGTACATTTATTAGTTGTAATTAGATACTGTTTATGTAGCAGTTGTAATAAAAAGTACATTTTTACACTGCTAGTTTTTCAAGACAACTAAGTAATTTGAATGCCAGTTCCTTTCTATCCAAGAAATTATTGTTATAGTATACAGAATCACAGTTAAATTTTTGTAATAAAGGACTTCTTTACTGTCATTTGGGTTCCAAATTAGGTGTATCTATTTCTGATTGTTTGCTTTTTAGAATATTGCCAAAGCAGTCCTAGGTGAGTTAGATAAGTACTAAAATTATGAAAACAAAGGATCCCAATTTTTTCTCATATCTATATTCATTCAATCACTTGTCAATAAATATTTATTGACCACCTCTACTATGCTAGATATTGGATAATACAGTGACAAAAGGGAAATGGTCTCTGCCTTTGTGAACCTGAGGGTTTAACAATATGTTGATTATCTTTGATAGAAAAATCATAGTTATGAAAAAGATGAGATGAATTTTTGAGGATTTTTCTTCAAAGTTTGATTTCTCAAACTTTGTTAAAAATTTTAGTGGCAACTTGAAAAATGTGACAGCTGAAATATGTTGATGGTTGTTTCCTCACTAAACCCTACTACAAGTAAAAGTAAAGGTGTAAAATAGGCATATACTCAAAAGGGAGAGGGGAACACAGCAACCAGATTCTGGAAGATGGACAGCAGAAATACTAGTTGTAACTGATGTAACACGCCTGAGACAGCTGAATCCTAAGCCAGTAATATGAGAATCCCCAAAGCAGGCTAATTTGCACCTCTGACCCCCAGAAAGGCTCAGGAATTGCGGGCACCAGGCATCGCTCAAAGCAAGAGTGCAGGACACAAGAGGATTAGTTGGAAGTCTATATAAGAAATAGGTACCCCCCAGGTCTCAGATATACACTATCCCCGTAGGAAACCTTGCCTTTCTGACCCTCATGGAAGACTGACAAGGTTAAATAGACAAAACTATGGATTCAGGGACAAGGGGCACGCTTGAGGGAGAGGACACCGTCAAAGCTAGGGGGTGGCGTGAAGATTGCCACACTACACTGTGGAGCTGCCATGGCCTCTTGCTGCCCCTTCCTTCTGAGAACGGTGGCTTCCTAGACAAGACCTGGGAGGATTCCTCTCTGAGAACTGAGAACAGAAATCTACTGATGCTGTCGGCTAGTGGTTTTGCCAGTGAACTGGCCCAGCCAGATCTCCCTGCAGTGATGCCTGTGGCTTAGCAAGCCCAGCCTATGCCGCAGAAGCACATTTGTGATGATGTCACAATTTCTCTTTATATTTTGATTTCATTGTATTTCAATATCATTAGTTTGCTCTGTCCTACAATATATGTAAAAACATTATTCTGAGAAGGGGTCTGTCGGCTTCAACAGACTGTCAAAGGACCCTTGGCATGTAAAGATGGAGGACTCCCCCTGCATAGAGAGAGTTGGTGATCACTTTTTTCTCTCCCCGTGGAACCGCACGTACATTTACTCATTCACTTCATCAGTGTTTGTTGAGAGACTTCTATCTGCTAGACATTAGGCTAGGTTCTGGTGATACTACAATGAAAGAATCAGTTCGTGAATCCTGTATTTCTGGACATGTGTGGCTGATCATTTGGCAGTAGGCAGAAACAGACTTTGGCACTGAGGAAGAGCAAAATGTTTGAAACCAAAGCAAGAGGTAAACAAAAATCAAACATGATCAGAATTGTTGGGTTTTAATACAGTAATACAAATTGGTCAGAACTGCTGGGTTACTGAATCAGCTGCGTCACTTCTCACAAGAGAGACTTGTGTTTTCTGATGGTCAATTCAACAGCTATTCCTCAAGGGAATGTGGGAAATTCTTGTCGGATGCCACAGTTTTGGAGCAATTGGTTATTTAGGTGCAAAAATGAAACAATGGGATTCAATCTGAAGTGGAGAAGTAATTTATAGATTCCCTTATTCACAATGCAACCTAGCTGCATTTCATGTAATTATGTGTTATAGTCATGTGTTATTAAGCCTTACAGTTTCATCTGTCTTCTCCCCTCAGACTACCAGCTCATTCTTCCTCTTAGCTGAAGAGGACATACTGGCTTGCTAGGCTTCAGGTTTAACTCTTAGGGCTCAAGTAGGGACTCTCCTTTTCTGAGTCCCCTAAAACTTGATCTAATGGTCCTTTGCTCCCCGCTTATTCCACCTGGCATCCGCTTAGCAAGTGTCCCTGCCTAGACCTATTGCACCTCAAAAATATTCCCATCCAACAATTTCTATTTTGATTAGCTAGCATTCCTTTTTGGTTTCCCATGTCAGCCTGACTTATATCATTTCTTGGAATGAGCTTCTTTTTTGTCTATTCCTACGCTACCTCCTTCGTTTTCAGCTTAAACTTCACTTTGAGGAGTTTCTTCCCTGGTTTCCAGTTTATATAGAGAGATTATACATCTCTACCTCTATCTGTAACTGACCCCTCTTCTTTTCTACCTCTTCTTCTTCTGCTTGGACGCTTTCTGTCACCATTTAAGCAAGCCTAGTCTCTCCCATCTTAAGTGTCTAAAAATGGAGAGATGAATGGATGAATGGACTGACTGATGAACAGCAAACAATCTCAGAATCCCCTATTCCCTTCTAGTTGTTGTCCTATGTTCTCCTTTGTCAGTATTTGTCTGTGCAGTCTATTACCCACAGGTCACTCACCCCTTAATCTACTCCAGTGTGGCTTGCACCTCCTACCAATTGACTGAACCTGTTCTTGCCAAGGCCACTATTGACCTCCATTTTAGGTTTTTTTTTTTTTAATTTTATTTATTTTTGGCTGTGTTGGGTCTTTGTTGCTGCACGCGGGCTCCCTCTAGTATGGCGAGCAGGGGCTACTCTTTGTTGTGGTGTGTGGGCTTCTCACCACGGTGGCCTCTCTTGTTGCGGAGCACAAGCTCTACGTGTGCCAGCTTCAGTAGCTGTGGCACGTGGGCTCAGTAGTTGTGGTGCGCAGGCTCAGTAGTTGTGGCGCACGGGCTTAGTTGCTCCGCGCGGGCTTAGTTGCTCCGTGGCATGTGGGATCCCCCCGGACCAGGGCTCGAACCCGTGTCGCCTGCATTGGCAGGGGCATTCCTAACCACTGCGCCACCAGGGAAGTCCCCATTTTAGGTATTTTTGAGCCCTCACCTTACTTGACTACCTAGTGGTGTTGAACTGGAAATTGCGTCTCACCCTGGCTTCTGTGACACTGTGCTCCCCTGCCTTTCCTTCTCTCTCTCGCTGTCTTTTGCAGGCTCTTTCTCTTCTACCTGAGGGTTCCTCACAGTTCAGTCCTAGGTACTCTACTCTTTTTATGCTTGCACTCTCTCGCTGTACGCTGGTGATTCCCAAATATACATGGCCAACCCTGGCCGCTCTTCTGGGCTCCAGACCCAAACATGCCCCTAGTGTGTCTCCCCTTGACTCTCTCATAGATCACACAAGCCCAGCATTTCCAAACCTGAATTAATATTCCCCCACCCAGATCTGCTTCTTTTTCAGTTTATCACAGTTTTGTGTATTACAAATTCTGCTCTCATTTGATCTGAGAAATATTTAATTTTCAGGAATTACTTTTTAGACATGTTTGAAGTTTCTACTCATGGTGTACTACTCATCTCTCTGTATATTTGTTAATTTAATAATTCAGCAAATGTTTATTGAGTACCTACTATGTGCCAGGTATTGTACTAGACCCTAGAAATATGGTGGTGAAAGAAACAAATTCCTTGCCCTCATGAGCCTAGATTTTAGAAGTATTCATCATTACCTCATATAATTATTTCTAGATTGTAATTTGCTAAACTAAATTGTATACTGGATAAAATTGATTTATTTTAGAAGCCTTAACAATCTTTTATATGATAATGAGCACTATACAAATTTGGTACTTTTACTGATATGTTCTTTCCTCAACCACATAATTTCACAAATCCCTTGTAATTCTGAGAATAAAAGAAGACCTTTCTAAATGTCTGCACATGATACATGTTTTTCATAAGGCTTTTTGAGAATACAGTTCAGCAAACATTTGTTGAGTTCTTGCTGTGAGTCAGTCTGCTAGGTATTGGATATATGATTTTAACATTGAAGACTTTAAAGGCATTTTTCTAAAAAGGGCATCTGTTCTTATTTATAAGAAAATAATGTCAAAGTGATACATTCATGTGTTATTAATTATCCTATACTTAACTATAGTATATGCATTCTGTGTTTTCATAATTTAACATTGGGCATTCGAAAAAATTCACAACAGGTTATTAACATGAATCCCCAGGTAGATAAATAAAACTAGAAGAAAAATAACATCCCAACATTTAAAACAGAGGTAGCTAAGTTAATTATAACTCACTGACATGGTAGCTGTACTTAAAAGGAAAAGGCCTGTG